GGGGGGGGGGGGGGTGAAGGCGTCCCTTGCCTTGCGTTCATGGCTCTTGTTTCCTAGATTTGTTTTAAGATGTAGTTTATCTCTTTTGTTTTCATTTTTGTTTTTGCGGTTTCGGTTAGATGAGATCTCGTCGGAGGACGATGAAGCTCTCCAACGGTATGGGTGTTTGATGTGTGTTATGCTTTCTCTTGGGTGATTTTGTGCTGAAAACTGGCGGATGAGACCTCGCCACAGCGATTGATTCTCTCTTATTTTGGGATCCATGATTTTGTAAGTGGTTGTGGTGAAGATGTGCGGAGTTTTGAAGCTTTGGTGTGGTTTGGTGAACGGAGGTTTGGCTCGCCGGTGGTAGCGAGAAGCAGTGGTGAAGCGATGGCTCTTGCGATGCATGTCTCTTGGTATCGAAGATGGTAACACATGTACGTCTTTTCTTTTGTAGATCTGTGTGGTGGCCGTCGGCATCCTTTACTCTCTGGTGCTAGAGTTTTCATAAGTTGGACTGAGGCCCATTTGAGTGGTTATGTTGAGTCTGGTTTCTGTCGGGTTATATAATTTGTTGGATTTTGACATTTTTAATATATTAAATTTCGAGGGAAATAAAAAGTTTGAGAGATTTACCGGTTTGAGAAAATGTTTTCGTTTCACAGAAAAAAAAAAGAGAAGATGTTTTCAAGCATAAAATGTCATGAAAATCTTTCCCGTTTAATTATATTTTTTTAGTCTTAGAGATATGCATGCGTAAGAAAAAAATTTCCAAACCGGATCTGTATTTTGGTGACAAGAGTATTTATTTTAAAATAACATCCCGTTTAGTTATGATTTATATATTAGCTTCTATATTAACTTTTTCAGTTATCTAAGAAATCTATACTATTATTTAAGAAGTAAATTTGTTTAGTTGTCATCTTCTCCATAAGTTTAGGTAATTTTATTTATTTATCATATTTTTAATATTTATATATATTTTATTTGTAAATAAAACAAATCTATATAGATATATCATATTTTTAGTAAATAAGATAATTCTTGTGAATTATGTTTTTATCTTGAAATATATTTTTATATATAAAACTTAAATTTTAAATTAAGATATAAACACTATTATATTTATCTAAAACGAATTTATATTAATAATTTAATATTTTTTAAATAAGATAATCATTATGGATTATGCTGTTATCTTGAAAAAATATTTTTCTATTATAAATTTAAAATTAACATGTAAAAAATCTATAATATTATTTAAGAAGGGAATTTGATGTTTGCTGATTTGTCATATTTTTCATGATTTTAGGTAATTTTGATAATTTATCAATTTATATAATTTTATTTCTAATTTATTATATATTTTAAAAAAATTATACTAATAGTATCAGATTCTTAAAAAATAAAATACTTCTTATGTATTAAGTTGTTGTCTTGAAAATATATTTTTCTATTAGAAATTTAAAATTATGATATAAAAAGTTGTAGTTATTCTATAATTGAAATAAATTTACACTAAGAATATTATACTTTTAGAGAATATGTTCTTATGTATTATGTTGTTATCCTGAAAATATATTTTTATATTATACAATTTAAAATTAAAAAAAAATTATCTTTTATTAATTAAATATAAATCATCACTCAAGAAAAATTATTTAAGAAGTGAATTTGCTGATTCATTAAGTTCTCAATGATTTTAGGTAATTTTAACTATATGTCATAATTTCTATAATCTTATATAATTATTATATAGTTAAAGAAATTATCATATTATATTTTCAGAAAATAAACTTATGCATTATATTATTATGTTGAAAATATGTTTTTCTAATATAAAAATTAAAATTAAGATATAAATATTGTAATTAAATATAAATCAAGAAAAATAGTTATAGAAATATATTTTTTTAAATATTTCTGATGTTTGAGTTTTGTCATTGATAATTATTTGATTTTTGATTTTTGATTTTTACTTTTTGAAAACATAAATAATAATTTACTATGCTGATATTTGAATTAATGAAACATCAACTAAAAAAATATTCATAAGAGAATTATGCCCGCAAGTGCGGGCAAAACACCTAGTTTTATAGACTCCAGATGTTCCATTAGATGCTTCAGACATTACATTAAATTTCATATGCAAAAAAAAAATGTTGGCCAGTAAACATATAGACTTTATATACAGCACCTGCACGCATTACATGATGAAGAGTATCTTAAAAATTGTCTAAACGCATGGAATTAGTTCAAGTAGAAATACATCACAATCATAAACTACCTTTTTCTCTAGAGGATCGTGTTATATATTCTCTTCTCAACGATTTGTAGATAATTGATTCTTAACAATCGGCTTGTCAGAATCCGAATCCAGACACAGGCAACTCAGTAATCCATCCCTGCCTAAATTAAAAGCATATGCTAAACATATACGAAGTAAATCATCTAAGTAAATCATTGTTGCTTTTTGAACTGTATTCATAAATAAATAAATAAACATTTATGCGTATTACTATTTAATACTATATAGCGTAGAATCGCACGTGGGAAAAAGTTAATAAAACAAAATTACTTTCGTGAGAATTGGCTAGCTAAATAAGTATACATTCTTCTTTATACTCCCTATATATTCTTTAGACTATGAGAATTGCGTATGCTTACGCCTTTTGGTTAAAATACATCCTTGTATTTTCCAACTAATAGCTTATTCAATTCCGGAAATAATAGATTCGACACACAAACTTTAACTTTTTATTATACTGATGTGTTTTCTTTTTCTTTTTGTTTTTATGTTGGGGTGACTACAACTATTAATTTTTTTTAACCATTAGATTAATTCAAAATCTTATACTTGGATAATAAATTATTTAGTTCAACTACAAACTTAAGAATACATTTGTTTACTAATCATTCCTTAACCACTACGCCAAGCAACATTTTCTTATTTTTATTTTAAAATATATATTCTTGTAAACCATCTTTACAAGCATATATATTATTTTTATGCTAAATGTAAAGCGACTATTACAAAATGATGTTTAAATAGTTTTTTTAATGTGCTTATGCGCTGCCTCTATATTATCCTTGTTACGATATCAACCTTTGATATAACCCTTGCTCAACAATTCCAAGTAGTTTAAGTAATATATATAATCATATTTTAACATATTTTCTTAAAATTTTAATAAACTATTTACATGTATATATACTTATGCTTTATGCTTATATATATTTAATACTTACGGTAAATTATATCTTCATCATCCTTTTTAATTGTACGATTGGTTAGCATCTCATCACAAAATATATTTTCCAAAAAGTGCTCGTATGATGCGCCATAAGAAAAAAAAATTGAAGATCAAGAAGCATCTGGTATATAGAGAGAGATTCAACGTACAGATATTCCCACATAGTCTAGAGCAGAGGCCTACACTTAATTAGTTAATTACATCAAAGAGATTAAGAGAGTGTACTAGTGAAGGTTGGTATCTTATTCTTACAAAATGGATTTTCTTAGGTTTAGCTAAAGTTTCTCACATGATTTAGAATTTTCTGATTTGGCTAATATTTATCTTTCTTTTTTTTTTTGTTGAAAGGCTACCCTATTTATCTAATTCCTAGATTCACTGCTACATGTCACCAGTTGAATTTGTTTGGATTCCTTTTAACAAAAGCAACCACAACAAATTAAAAAAAAAAGGAGAAATCGCACCACAAAACTAAACGGGATATGCTATTCTAAACTTTACCTAGACGTCTCAGGATACATCACTCTTATTTAATACTACCAGTACTACATGCTATTGCAATCCGACGAGCCAAAAGTGATGGTATTTTTTCGGTTATGATTATTGTAAAATGCTATTCTTTGACAAAAAAAAAAAGTTTATTGTAAATGTAGAAATTTGAGTGACTCGCAATATAGATATTTGGTCGTTTTATCATTTACCAATTTTGACATATGTTGAAGTTAGGATATGTATATACATATGATAAGGAGCCACCACCCGGATATATGTACACTCTGGGTGATGGCCCATTGGCATATGAGCACCCCGGAAGCATAAATCCTTGTTTTGAATGTACTAACAGAAAGGGAAGAGCCAACAGAAAGGGAAGAGCCAGTCAAGAGAAAACCGGGAAGGCCCCCAAAAAAGAGAGTTGGTACAAAAAAATGATTTGTATAGGCATATGCACCTTTCAGTTGCAATTTAATTTTGTATTTCTAGATGTGGATTATAAAGAACGTTAATCAATGTTCTGTTTAGTAAGAACTTAAACTACTTGACTGGCTATTAACATTGTGTTGGCATTTATCTGCAACTCTGATATGAAACTATGAAATCAAAATTTGCTTTGTACTTCTTCTTTCTTCTTCTTTAAGATTTATATGTTTTCAAATTTTCATTACCATTCAAAAGAAACGTAGTGGAAATCGAGCTGGTCCAACCTGAGTTCATTTCTTATGTGTGTCTCGGCCACCTAATTTGTTTTTGGTCCATTTCCACAGAAAAATACTACTAAATTACAACCTGCTTACTATTTCTGGTTATCCCATTTATGATACTCACATTATATAAATACCCTTACCATTCATAGTTTGTTACAAGCTTCATCACTCATAGATGAAACAATTTAGATGAAACATTTTAAGTAGTGAGAGAGGTACAGAGCAGAATATAGTTCGGCTAGTATGTGCTTTTACCTCCCTAAAGGAACAAGTGGTAGAAGCATAGGATAAAAATTAGTATAAGAGATTTAGTAAGAAGGATATTTGAGGATGTGCTTTGTGAAGCATCATCAGTAGGAGCAAGCAAGCAAGCCTAGTCACATATATTCTTCTCTTTCTCTACCTTTTTCTTTTGTCCACTATAAAACCAACCTCATCTTCCTCTCTTGCCCTGCACTCACTGAACAAACACACTCTCTTCTTCTTTTGAGTTTAAGACTTAAGAGAGGAAAGATATGGTGCAGTTCACAAAGCAATTCGAGGGGCAGCTAGTGCCCGAATGGAAAGACGCCTTTGTTGATTACCCTCAGCTCAAGAAAGACCTCAAGAAAATCAATTTGTTAACCAATGGAGTTGAGAAGGAACACACAGAAACTTCTCTTATCAAAACAGTCAAATCCTCTTTAGGAAAGCTTTCCCTTTTTGGTAACAAGGAACAGGAACACTCTCGTGCCATCAAAGTAGTTATGTTAACCATCATCTTTGTGATTTTTATCAACTATTCATCTTTTTACGTACTAATGATTATGATGCTTTTTTAAACAGGTTCATAGAAAGCTTGCTTCTTCTGTAAGTAACAGTGACGTGTATGAGACGGAACTCCTGGAGACTATTGCTGATGATACCGACGCTGCGAAAGAGTTCTTCATCTGTCTGGATACACAGCTCAACAAAGTGAATCAGTTCTACAAGACAAAGGAGAAAGAGTTCTTGGAGAGTGGAGAGTGTTTGAAGAGGCAAATGGAGATACTCATTGAGCTCAAAGATGCTTTCAATCAAAAGCAAGCCAATGGAGATTCTACTCAAGAATCAACAGAAGAAGATTCCATTTCATGCACCATCTCATGTGGTAATAATAACATTCAAAATATTTCATTTATAAGTATCTCAAAGTTCATTGGTTAATTGTGTGGATTTCAAGAAATGGTTTACTTACTTTTGCTCTGTTTCTGAATACAGAGGAAGACTCTGTTAAAGGCAGAAGAGAGGAAATAGAACTTCAGGAATATTGCTTGGAGGATTTGAAGAACAATGGGGCAGAAGCATTAGAGTCTCCAAGATCTGAAGAACCGATCAAAATCAACAAGGAGGACTCCAAGCTGAAGACAGTTTCTGGTAGGGTTTTCAGCTGTCAGGGGAGGAATGTAAAGATAAAGATTCCCTTGACAAACCTTTCTCGTACATTCTCAGCTATAAGTTACTTTATCAAAGAAGATTTGATAAACCAGTCATCATCAAAGAAAAGTGGTCCAGATGAAGTAAATAAGCTGAGAATCAGCAAGAAAACCCTAAATCACGCCGAGAAGATGATCAAAGGAGCTTTGACAGAACTCTACAAAGGGTTAAATTATCTCAAAAGTTACAGAAACTTGAACATGTTAGCTTTCATCAATATTCTCAAAAAGTTTGATAAGGTAAGCAATTTTTAACCAAAGTTTATTTATGTTTTTTTTTTTGCTTTTTGGTTTAGATTATAAGACCAACAATTTGATGTTTCAGGTTACTGGAAAACAAATCCTTCCAATATATCTTAAAGTGGTGGAAAGTTCTTACTTCAACAGTTCAGACAAGGTAACTGGAAAACCCTACGTTAGTTTTTTTTTTTTGTTTTTTCAAGTTTGTGCAAGCGGAAAATTGAAACCTATTGTCTTGTCTTATCATTTATTGTAATCTTGGGACATGACAGGTGATAAAACTATCAGATGAAGTTGAAGAATGGTTCATCAAGCACTTCGCTGGAGAAAATCGTAGAAAAGCGATGAAATATCTGAAACCGCACCACCGTAAAGAGTCTCACTCTGTCACCTTCTTCATTGGTGAGACCTTTTTTTTTAACTTTAATATGTACCTGTTGATGTTGTGACGTTTTTATTTTGTCACTTGCAAACCCAAAATCTTTTTGTTAAAGTCTTTGGACCCCATCACACACATTAGGATTTCCACAAATGTAACCTTTAATAGATTTGGTGGACAACTAAGAGCGTCACGTTCTGTTATACTCTATGTTGCATAACATTATCTTGTCTGCTGAAGAATCATTGCAGATTATATGAGTTTGGTTTAATATTGTCTTCAAATTTAATCTCTATTCAGGTCTATTCACTGGTTGCTTTGTTGCTCTTCTTGCTGGCTACATCATTGTGGCTCATCTGACTGGAATGTATAGAAAACAGACTGAGAACACTTTCTACATGGAAACTGCATATCCTGTACTAAGGCGAGTTGTCTAATAAAAAGTTTAAATATCAATGATTATTGCAATCTATAAATAGAAGAAATTATTCAAATAGAAGCTAATGTCAGTTTGATTTTTTATTTTTTTTGGTTCTGCAGCATGTTTGGACTCTTGTTTCTACACTTATTCTTATACGGTTGCAACATATATACGTGGCGAAAAGCGAGGATAAACTATAGTTTCATCTTCGAACTTGGGTCGAAAAATGAGCTCAAGTTCAGAGATGTTTTCTTGATATGTACGGCTTCAATATCTGTGATAGCTGGTGTCATGTTTGTTCATCTCTTGCTTCTTGCAAAAGGTTACTCATTTCGACAAGTTCAAGTGATCCCTGGCCTTCTATTACTGGTAATAACAAACACTAGTCACTCTTCATCATGTGTTTTCTCATGTAAATTTTTTAAAATCTAACCTGTTTTGTGATTTTGGCGGTTTTGTAGGCTTTCTTCTTAATACTGATTTGTCCCTTAAACATTTTCTACAAATCGAGCCGTTACCGGTTTATATCAGTCATCAGGAACATTGTATTTTCACCTCTTTACAAAGTCGTGATGCTCGATTTCTTCATGGCTGATCAACTTTGCAGCCAGGTAATAACATGAGCTAAGAATCTAATCTTTTAGTTAAACCCTGAATCAAAACCTGACCTTTAAAAATGGGTTAACTGATAGGTACCGATGCTAAGGAACCTAGAATACATAGCCTGCTACTACATAACAGGTAGCTATGCGACACAGGACTATGGATATTGTATGAGAGTCAAGTACTACCGAGATCTCGCCTATGCAGTTTCCTTCCTCCCATACTACTGGAGAGCTATGCAGGTAAAAAAAAAAAAACTAAGCATCATCGCTTCTTCCCCAAGTTTAATTTTCTTCTGTCCCAAGTATGGGTTTTCACTTTATAAAAATACTGAAAATGTTTCTGCCCACAGTGTGCAAGGAGGTGGTTTGACGAAGGTGAAACAAGCCACTTAGTGAACCTAGGGAAGTATGTGTCAGCAATGTTAGCAGCTGGAACCAAAGTGGCTTACGAGAAAGAGAGGAGCATTGGTTGGCTTTGCCTTGTGGTGGCTATGTCAACTATAGCCACCATTTATCAATTGTATTGGGACTTTGTAAAGGATTGGGGTTTACTCCAACCTAATTCCAAGAACCCTTGGCTTAGGAACCAACTCATGCTTCGCCAAAAATATATTTACTACTTCTCCATGGTACATATTCATATATTTTACTACACAAAATGACACATGAATCTAGTGGAAATGTTTTGACTTTCCTCTGTTTTTTTTTTCTCATATTTTCTTATTTATTTTTGTAGGTTTTAAATCTTGTTCTAAGGTTGGCGTGGGTACAAACAGTATTGCACTCAAGTTTTGAGCATGTGGATTATAGAGTGACAGGATTGTTCTTGGCTGCTCTTGAAGTCATCAGGAGAGGACATTGGAACTTTTACCGGTAAAGCTTATCTTCTTGGGTATTATTATATTCAGGATATATATATATATATATATATATATATATATATATGAATACTTATGATTGTAAAACAAAACCATGGTTGCAGATTGGAGAATGAGCATCTAAATAATGCAGGCAAGTTTCGAGCTGTAAAGACAGTACCACTTCCTTTCAGAGAAGTTGATGAAGAAGACTGATCTAATCGAATCAATAACCATTATTATTAGCTTTGTCAAAGATTTGAAAGAACAAGAGAAGAAAGAAAAGGAAGAGGAAGGATGTTCTTTCTTGATCAACCATATTTTGTGATCTGATCAAGAATCTTTATATCGTTGTTATTATTATTAAAACATCTCTCCTGAACCCTTATTTTAAGGGGTTTCTTGTAATAACTTTTTATTCTCATATTTTATTATAATTCATCATCAACGGCAACTAGAGAAACCCTAATCCATAATTAATGCGCCAATTAAGCAAGAAAAGTTAAAAAAAAAAAAAAAAAAAACTTATAAGTTGTGCAAAGGTAATTTGAAACTACTGAAGTTTTAAACAACAGAACATAAAGAGAAAAAAAAAAACACAATTTTATTAAGTAGAAAAGGTTAAGTTGAATCCAGCAATCTGGTGCCTAATCATCAACCTTCCCCTCATCAACCTTCTTCTATGCATCATCTTTGGACATCCTAGAAGAAATCTGGGAACGAACCTTGTCCATGGTGTTTTTGAAACAAGTCTTGTGTTCATCCATTGGGGTATTGATGAATTCAGTGAAACGATCCTTGAGGTTAGCAAGGAAAGTGGTATTATCATCATTCACATGCTTTTTGCAAGATGTTGTTGGCTGGCTCTCGGCTTCAAAGTTCTTGTTATCCATCTCTTCCTGTTCCAAAAAAAAACAAAAAAAAAACAAAGACGTAAGATACTTTCTGCTAAACCTTAAAATCTCTTCAGAATTTCTTGATCTCTTCATCACAAGTCACATGTAATTGATAAACATAAAAAATTTAATGACGAGACTCGAAATTAAAATTTACCTTATTTTTTCGTTTCCCTTTCGCTTCTACTACTTCTTTTTAATTTGCTTCCTCTGCAAGCTGAGACTCAGCGCCTATATATACACATCTATTTAAGTGCAGAACAAGCAAAAGCAACAACAATAAGTTAAATAATAATTAATTTTAGTTAAATTAACATAATACTCTCTGTTTTCCTTTTCGTAGATTTAAAAAATTCTTGTTTTCTCTTGGTCAGAAAATTTTCAAAAATTTAAATATGTTACACTCTATCGGAATCCTAATCTTATATATTAAAACAGAAGTCATGACTTGACTTCATGTGTGATTTTTAAAAAAATGGAATACTACTAGAAAGTCATGTTACATTAACTCTCTAATAATATTATCATTATTATATCTTATGAAAAATCATATCTATAATAACAAAAATATCTTTAACAATTTGATTTTGGTAAATTACCCCACACTTTCCAGTTTAGTCAGACATAATATGTCAATATATATATAAGTTTATGAATCTTCTATTATTTATAAGGAAATATGTCAATAATAGTTAAATGCATCAACAATATATTAACAAAAATCACAGATTCGTAATATGAAAATTTATATACCCTAACAAAATTTACACGCTATATATACTAGATAAATTTATTTCGATATAAATTTTTAAAATTATATTGTTTAAAAAAAAAGAAATTGTTTAAAAAGTTCTTTTTTAATAAAATTCTTTATAATATTAATTTATGAAACTATAAGTTTATATTATCTTTTGAAAATTAAAATATACTAATATTTAATCAAGCCTATTTATATTACTTTATCTAAAAATGAAATACCAATCTAACAAATAATAAATTATAGAAGCAGAAACCAACACATGTTTGAAAACATGTATAATATAAAAAATTTGAAACAATCTATTTGATTAAAACATGTATTATATAATATTATTATGTTTGAAAAACATTTACTATACATATCGTAAATATGTGATTACTATAATATATACCAATTTACAAGTGAAAAAAAAATGTTTATATAACTAACTATAAACGAAAATAAACACCCGCGCAGTTGCGCGGGTAAAAATCTAGTAGTATTTTAAATTAACATAATACTCTGTTTTCCTTTTTCTATTTTTAAAAAATTTCTTGGTTTTTTCTTGGTGAGAAAGTTTCACTAAGAAATATATTAAACTTAAAATTCGTTCAAAAAACAAGAAATATAATAAACTTTAATCCTAAGAATATTTTTTGGCTCGTCCTGGAATGATGATTACACACCAAGTCCAAGAGAAGCGGTCGGACAATCTTAACTGATATTTTATGCCTATCAGACGTCCTACTCACTCGTATACATGAAATGTGATAAAGATAGAAATTTTGATTCGTATTTGACACTTGGAGGATGTTCTTGGCAAAAAGAAAAGTATTTATAGTCATTGTCATCTTAGGAATCAGGATGAAACGGGTGAACTGGTGCTGAGCAGCAGCAGAAACAGCGTGAACGAGAATTAGCACAGCAACATCTCGACGATGCAAATGGGTAATTTTTAGATCTCTCTGGGAGCAAAGAACATTGATCATAGTGATTCCTAGTTCTAGTCAGCCATATAAGTGAGTTTGAACATATTGGCAAGAGAGAAAATAGAAAATAGAAATCCGAATTTGACCGAATTCAGGTTATGTGTTTTTTTCGGATTTGTTGAATATTGGGCTTTATCTAATTTCTTTTTCAATTTTGTAACGGTGGGTTTAGATGGAGAAAAAAATGCAACCCAAAAAGGTCAAAAGCATGTTATAGGGTTCACCAAAAAATTGGTTAGTTGTCTATACTATTATTTACGAAGTGATTTTTCGCAACGGATCTCTCACGTTAAAAGTTGGAGTGATTAATATCATTTATACCCTTAATGAATAAAATATATAAATTAGTTAAAAATAAAAATGAATTTAATACTTATTTGATTAGATCAATGATTTAAACTAATAATAATGATAAGAATTATCCATAATCTAAATATATATTTAAAAATAAAAAATATAATTCATATATTTATTCTGTTGTTATCTGGAAAATAAATTTTTAATAAAAAATTCAAAAACAGAAAACACATAAATAAATATTCATAAAGTAAAATTTTTAATTTTTTATAATTTAAAAAAGAAAATTGAAAAATTATACTACATAATTATTTTCAAATTAAAATAAAAAATCATTCAAAAATAAAGAAAATACGTGTTTGACAAAAATAAATTCAAATATATTGTATTATTATCCAAACTAATATTATTATCTCTGTAAGATCAATCTTTGAATGTATATTTATCGATTTAATTTTTTAAATTGAAAGATAGATTTATATTTTTTTTATCAATTAAGAAGAAATCAAATAGACTTTAGATTTTTCAAAGTTTTAAAGGAAAAAAATAGATTTTTTTAAATTATGAATAACTTTATCATTTAAAAAGCTTTAATGTTTTAGATCAATTTTTTTGGATGCAAATAATCATTTATTTTGATGAATTTTTAAATTCATTTAAAGATAACTAAGTCCGCCTATGCGGGTAAAACACCTAGTTATAAGTAAAATTGATTTTATATGTAATAACCAAATTTTGTTTCTTTAATAAATTTGGCTAAACGGATTAGATTGAATACCTATCATTAAACTCAAAATCTGCGGTATACATTGGCGAACCTAGGTAGAGGATTATGGGTGCATTTGCCCCCACAATAATTTTAACATTTAGTATATTTCTTAACAAATTTGATGTCTACACCTATAATCATATGTAAGTTTATAACTATTTTAGCATTTTTGCGCCCACTGAGAACGCCCCTGGGGGTATAAACCAGTTAAATTTGGTATAGTCAAACCTTGTCCATCAAAACCTACCACCTATAAACTTGATCATGACATGTTGGTAACTTGTAAGATATTGATACAAAATGTACTAATTTAGTTGTGTGAGTCTTAATCTAAGTGTTTAGTTAAAATAGACAAATATTACTAGTATACGTTAGGTGTTATATTAGGTAAGTATGAAAAAAACATTTTCTACGAATCAAGCTGTTAGATGTTGAATGGGAGGTTCTTAAGATGAAATTCTTAGTGGAATTTAAGAATCTGACTCTTAATTTTTAATTAAAAAAATAAGAATCAATTTTTAAATATATCTTATTTAAGAACTGATTCTTAAAATTTTTAAGATACGCTTACCCCCCCCCCCCCATTAAACATGCTCTTACTGGGTTATATCAGTCATCATGGATATTGTATTTTCACCTCTTTACAAACTCGTGATGCTCAATTTCTTCATGTTAATCAACTATGTAGCCAACTAATAACCTTAAACATACAATAACATGGTCCAAACTAAGTTAAGATTCTGATTGGAGTTAGCGCTGTTAGGACTTTGTGGGATTATACAATCTCTAAAATCTAGTTTTTACTAATTAGACTTTTTCTAATTTTTATTATTCTAAAGTTTTTAAAGCCACTTTTTTGTTTTTCTCTTATTTTTTTTTCAAACCCAACGGCTTCTTTTACATGGTTTTACAAACAAAAAGAGGATTATCTTTTATTTTTATTGTTAAAAATACTTTTTCCCACAATAACTAAAATATTTATTTTACTTTAAATTAATTTTATTATAAATTTTTTTTGATAAATTAATCCTTGTTATTTTTTTCTTGCTATTTTGAGATCCATATTGAATAGCTTTTGGTTTCATATCTGTTATTTCTTTATTATTGGCATAATTTTATATTTATAATGAAAAACTAAAATATTATTTACGATTTTTATGATTTTGATTATTAATTTTATTTTTTAAATATTTAAAATAATATTAACAGTTTACAACCTAAATTTCTACCGCTAACAGTCTAAAACAAAAATCGTTTCCAATCGGACCATAAGATTATGCTATTCTCAAGAAACTCTGAATCAAAAAATGAACTCTGAAAATGTGTTAACTCTATCTCACAGGTACCTATGCTAAGAAACCTGGTACACATAGCCTGCTACTATATAACTAGAAGCTACACAACACAGAACTATGAATATTGTATGAGAGTTAAGTACTACAGAGATCTCGCCTATGCAGTTTCCTTCCTCCCATACTACTGGAGAGCAATGCAGGTAAAACAAAACTTATCACGATTGCTTCTTCCCCAAGTTTTAGTTTCTTCTGCCCCAAGTCTGGGTCTCCACTTTTAGAAAAGACTGAAAAAAGTCTCTACCAGTGTGCAAGGAGGTGGTTTGACGAAGGTGAAACGAGCCACAGTGAACCTAGGGAAGTATGTGTCAGCAATGTTAGGAACCAAAGTGGCTTACGAGAAAGAGGAGCATCGGTTGGCTCTGCCTAGTGGTAGATATGGCAAGTATAGCCACCATTTACCAATTGTATTGGGATTTTGTAAAAGATTGGGGTTTACTTCAACGCAATTCCAACAAAACCCTTGGCTTAGGAACCAACTCATGCTTCGCCAAAAAATCTATTTACTATCTCTATGGTACAAAATCAAAATCTTTTACCACCCAAATGACACATGAATCTAGTGGAAATATTTTGACTTTCCTATGTTTTTTTCTCATATTTTCTGATTTCTTTTTGCAGGTTTTAAATATATATTGTTCTAAGGTTGGCATGGCTACAAACAATTTTGCACAAGTTTTGAGCATGTGGATTATAGAGTGACAGGATTGTTCTTGGCTGCTCTTGAAGTCACCAGGAGAGGACACTGGAACTTTTACCGATAACACTTATTTTCTTGGGTATTAGATTCATAATATATATATGAATAGTTTTGATTGTAAAACAAAACCATTGTTGCAGATTGAAGAATGAACATCTAAATAACGCAGGCAAGTTTCGAGCTGTGAAGACAGTACCAATTCCTTTCAGAGAAGTTGATGACGAAGACTGATCAATTCAAATCAATAAAGAAGAAGAAGAGGAAGGATGTTGTTTCTTGATCAACCATATTTTGTGATCTGATCAAGAATCTTTATACCCTTGTTATTATTCTTAAAACATCTCCCCTGAGAACCCTTATCTTAACAGGTTTCTAGTGATAACTTTTAATTCTCATATTTTCTATAAGCCATCATCAAAGGCAACTAGAAAACCCTAATCCATAAATGCGAAGATTAAGCAAGAAAAGTAATTATAAGTTGTGCAAAGGAAATTTGAAACTACTGAAGTTTTAAACAAGAGAACATAAAGAGAAAAAAACACTTGATTTTATTAAGTAGAAAATGTTAAGTTGAATCGAGCAATCTGCTGCCTAAAGAGGCGAGTGGCTCTCCACAGCCTTCCCCTCATCAACCTTCTCCTGCGCATCATCCTTGGACATCCTAGAAGAAATCTGGGAACGAACCTTGTCCATGGTGTTTTTGAAAGAAGCCTTGTGTTCATCCATTGGGGTATTGATGAATGCAATGAAACGATCCTTGAGGTTAGCAAGGGAAGTGATTGTTGTTGGCTTGTTCTCGGCTAGAAAGTTCTGGTTATCCATCTCTTCCTGTTCCAAAAACAAAACAAAAAAGCAAGGACATGATCTACTTTCTGATAAACCCCAAAATCTCTTTAAAATTTGCTACGATGATTCAGAATTTCTTGATCTCTTGATCATAAGTCACATGTAATTGATAAACCTAAAATAATTTAATGAAGAGACTCGAAACTTAAAATTTACCTTAATTTTTGTCTCTCTTTTCGCTTCTACTACTTCTTTCTAATTTGCTTCCTTTGCAAGCTGAGACTCAGCGCCTATATATATACATCTGTTTAAGTGCAGAACACGCAAAAGAAATAAGTTAACTATAAAAAAAAAGACAAAATCTTGGTTTTTTTCTTGGTCAGAAAGTTTTAATAAGAAATATGTTAAACTTAATCCTAAGACTTGTTGACCAAAAAATCCCTAAGAATATGTAAAGGTCATGAAAGGCCCGTCCTAGAATCTTGACTCATATTTTATACAAGAGACTGCAAAAGGGCAAAAGGTATATGATTTTGTTACCTCGATTCAAAGTCATCAATATGAATGGCCACATTTCCGATGAGTGCCTACTCACCATGTCTGATTTTCTGGAGTCTCATCGATTCTAACTACTCTATCTCTCTCTTTATTTTTTCATAACAATATTTATATAATCCTAACCATTTTTGAATGTTTCAAAATTATTATTTAAAGTATCCAGAAACATTCTCTGAATAGTTTAGAATTGATATGTAAATGATTAATAATATTTTTCGGAAGGATTTATAATTGATTTGTAACGGTTTACGAATATTTTTGTGAAATATGCATAATATTTTTCTGAAGGATTCAGAATATTCTGAGACAGCTACAATATTTGTTCAGAAGGATTTCAAAAGCTCCTCTTGATTTCTTTTTGGAGTTATCTTGGGTTATAATATGTTGATGTTATATGTTATATATTAATTTTTAAATTGTGATATTAACTATTAAAATGGTATTTAATGGTCAACACATATTTAAAGCAATTATATTTATAACTATAGTCAGTCATTTTTTAAAGGGTTCGAAATTATTTTCTGAAGGGTTCATAAACATTTTTGAAAGGTTCAGATTTGATTTCTGAATGTTTCAGACTTGATTTCTAATGGGTTTAAAATATTTTCTTGAAGAGTTTAGAAATGATTTTTGATGGTAAAAATATTTTTCTGAAGGGTTTATAAGCGCAAGATGTGCTTGATTTCATTGACAATTTTTTAAACAATGTGTCATTGATAGATTTACCAGCCTATCCCAAAGAAAAACAAAGGACTTATCTAGATCTTTAAAGGATTCCGCGTGTTTTTTGACAATTTTTATTTTCAAACCGACGAGAGAATTAGAACAGACGAGAGAATAACGAGACATGCAAATTTTATTTGAATATGTATGTGTTTTATATACTACATTGGTTTGCTAGTATGATGAATTCTATAGTTGTCAACATCTTAGATTAATGAATTCTCTAAATGATGTGGTACATCCAGGTATTTGTGAAAAGTACTATAGGTGCAAGATGTGCATTTTCAACAATTATTTCGAAAGAAGATTCACGATAATTTGAACTTCATCGTTGTCAATAACTTCGTGAATAGATTTAATAGTCCTAGATGATCGATACATAAGAACTTCGACACTGACTGTACCTCACCGAGAGCAAACATAATGCCCAGAATCAAAAGCATATTAGTAATTTGAAATGTGACTAGATTTTTGTCTGATAAGTTTTTCTAAGATATCAGAGATGAAAATGAAGAAAAGAATAAATATGAAACTTTATTGGTTTTCTCTTTACGGGTAACAAGAAGTTTTAACGGTATCTTCTACTTTGAAGATGTTTCAAGATGCTTGTGTAAGTGAAATGAGAAGTCATAAAGGTTCAGAAACATTTTATAAAGGGCTAAGAAACATTTTCTGAGGGGTTTAGAAATATTTACCATGGGGTTCAGAAACATTTTATGAAGGCTCAGAAACATTTTGGTAAGGGCTCAGAAACATTTGTTGATGGTTTAGAATTGATTTCTAAAAGGTTCAGAAATTTTTCTAACTTGCTCAAAATTGATTTCTAAAGAGTTTAGTATATTTTTCTGAAGGGTTTAGATTTGATTTCTCACAGTTTAAGAATATTTTTCCGAAGTTTTCAGAATATTTTTCCAAAGGATTCAAAATATTCTGAACCAACTACTATATTTTTCTGAAGGGTTTCAAAAACTTTTCTTGATTTATTTTGGAGTTATCTTGTATTATAAAATGTTGGTATTTTATATATTAATTTTTCTACTGTAAATTAACTATTTGAAATGGTGTTTAATGGTCAACACACATATAGAGAAAACTATATTTATAACTATGGTCAGTCATTTTTAGAAGGATTCAAAATTATTTTCTGAATGACTCAGAAACATTTTCTAAATGGCTCAGATATATTTTCTCAGAGATTTTAAACTGATTTCTGACTATTTAAGAGTATTTTTGTGAAGGGTTCAGAATATTTTTGAAACAACTACAAGATTTTTTTTGAAAGGAAAAAAAAAAGAATTCTCAAGATGCTTATGTATGTGAAAATAGAAGTCATTTTCTGAATGACTCAGAAACATTTTCTCAAAGGCTCAGAAATATTTTCAAAAGGGTTTAAAATTGATTCTCAAGGGTTCATAATTGTTTTTGAAGGTCTCAGAACATTTTTGAAAGGTTCAGAATTGCTTTCTGAAAAGTTCATAATTGATTTATAAGTGTTCAGATTATTTTTCTGAAGTCTCACTGATTTTAGCCACTTTATCTCTCTCTTTTTTTTTTTAATTTCTCATAACAAAATTTATATACTCATAACAATTTCTAAAAATTTTGAAATTATTTTCTTAGAGGTTCAGAAACATTTCCGAAAAGATGCAGAATTGATTTCTGACAGTTTAAAAATATTTTTCTGAAAGGTTCGGAATATTTTGAAGCAACTACAATATTTTTTTCTTAATGTTTTCAAAAACAAGTTCTCAAGATGATTGTGTAAGTGAAAAGATAAATAATTTTCTGAAGGTTTCTAAAACTTTTTCTGAAAGGCTCAAATCATTTTTAAAGGTTCATAATTGATTTCTAAAGGGTTCAGAATTGATTTATGAAAGGTTCAGAAATTTTTCAGACGGGCTCAGAAACATTTTCTAAATGGTTTAGAATTACTTTCTAAAGCGTTCATAATATTTTTCTCGAGAATATTGTGAAGGGTTCATAATTGATCTTTGAAGGGCTCGGAAACATTGTTTGAAAGGCTCAGAAACATTTGTTTAAGGGTCCAGAATTAATTTCTGAAGGGCTCAGAAACATTTTTTTAAAAGTTCAGAACTGATTTCTAAAAGGTTTCAGAATTGATTAATGACGATTTAAGAATATTTTCTAAAGTGTTAAAAATGAATTCTCAATATGCTTGTTGTATGTGAAAAGATGAGTCATTTTATGAAGGGTTCAGAAAATTTTATGAAAGGCTCAGAAATATTTTTTCAAGGGCTCATAAAAAAACGAAATATTTTTTCAAGGGCTCATAAACATTTTCTAAAGGTTTAAGAATTGATTTCTGAATGTCTCAGAAACATTTTCTGAAAAATTCAGAATTGTTTTCTTAAGGATTCAAAATTGATTTTTGAAGGGTTTAGAACTAATTTCTGAATTCTTCATAATCTTTCATCGGAATTCTCGCTGATTCCACCCACTATATCTCTATATCTATTTCTCATAACAATATTTATATACTCATAACAATTTCTGAAGGGTTCGAAATTATTTGTTTAAGGGTTCAGAAACATTTTCTACATAATTCAGAATTGATCTCTGACGGGTTAACACTATTTTTCTAAAAGGTTTTAAAAACTTTTGAAACAATTACAATACTTTTTCTAAGGGTTTCAAAAATGAATCTCAAGATGATTGGGTATATGAAAAGAGAGGTCATATTTTCGTTCATAAACATTTTCTGAATAGCTTAGAAATATTTTCTGAAGGACTTAGAAACATTCTTTCAAGAGCTCAAAAACATTTTCTGAAGGGTTCATAATTGATTTTTGAAACATTCAGAAATTTTTTCTGAAGGTATTTGAATTGATTTCTGAAGGATTGATAAATTTCTCACTGATTACAACCATTATTTCTATTTTTATTTTCTTATAATAATTTCTGAATGGTTTAGAATTATTTCCTGAAAAGCTCAAAACATCTTTTGGAGGGTTCAGAAGCATTTTCTGAAGAGTTCATGATTAATTTTTTTAAGGGTTTTGAATAATTTTATGAATGGTAGAATTTATTTCTGACGTTTTAATAATATTTTTTGAAGGGTTCAAAATAGTTTTATGTAGGATTCAAGTTATTCTGAAACAATTACAATATTTTTTCTTGACGATTTCAGAAATGAATTTTCAAGATGCTGAAAAGAGGAGTCATTTTCTGAAGGATTTATAAATATTTTCTGAAGGGCTTATAAACATTTTCTGAAAGGGTTCGAAACATTTATCAAGAAGAGTTTTTGAAACCCTTCAGAAAACTTATTGTAGTTGTTTCACAATATTCTGAATCCTTCAGAAAAATTGTATAAACCATTTAGAAAAATATTCTTTAATGTGTGAGAAACCAATTATAAACCTTTCAGGAAAAATATTCTGAACCCTTCAAAAATTAATTTTGAAGAAATGTTTATTAGCCCTTCAAAAAATGTTGTTGAGCCCTTCCGAAAATGTTTTTGAACCTTTAGAAAATGTTTCTAAGCATTTGAAAAAATAATTCTGAACCGTTCAGAAATTGTTATGAATATAAAAATATTGTTATGACAAAAAAAAGAGAGACAGAGTGGCTGTAATCAGCGAGGAATTAGAAAATATTTTGAACTCTTCAGAAATAAATCTAAATCCTTTAGAGAATGTTTTGAATCCTTCAAAAAAAGTTTTTAAACCCTTTAAAAATGTTTGTGAACCCTTTAAAAATGACTCAATTTGTCTTAGATACAGTAGCATCTTAAAACATCTTCAAAACATGAGATATCTTCAAAACAAAAAAAACAATAATGATTCATAATTATTAATGTTTTCTTCATCTTCATCACCTATTTGTTCAAGGCATTTCCTCAATTCTGTAGACCTAATCCTAAGAAATTAAGAAGGGGATTTAATTCAAAGCTGACGTAGAAGATTGTGATCAGTGATAGTTAACCTTTTTAATCATCTTGCAATATGATCAATTGTATCTTCTCGAGAGATTATAGTTCAGTATAGAATAATTACCGCGTTCTGTAATGGTGATGATGCTGGAGCTGGGGATAAAAAGCTTTTATGGATATGGAGATTTCTTTACAATTTAAAAAAAAAAACGTTTGGTGCAACAACAGGGTTTGGTGGGTTTTAAGAGATCAAGAATTCATCAGAATTCTACGTTGTTCTATAGCAATAGTCCAATAGATACAGTTATCGGCCTTCATTAGCATTCTTAATAAATCGTGCTGATCATATGCTAAATGGGAATGATGCTTCCTTCAGACCTAAAACACTTGTAACGACTCTAGATCACTTTCAAGAAATGCATATT